TACCGAATATCGGGAGGTACAGTTTTAAGGTCCTTCAAAGACAATTTTCTGTTTAAGACTGTAGTATCCATTACGAACTTCAAATACCAAATTTGAAAAATTTCCGGTGAATAATGTCGCTTAAATCACCAAAATACCGAAGGAAGGTACGGCTAAAGAAAATGGAAATACCCGTTTGAACCGGCTCCGAAGCAAAATAAGAAAAGTGGTATTTTTAAACCGGATTTTTTTGGAAAACCCCAAAAAGTCGAAAATGGACCCATGATGGTGTATTAAGATCTGCACGCTATATTATAGCCTACACTCTTGCCCTTCAAAAATGATGTGTTGACATCTCTTGTCGTTCCCAAGATATTGACTTTAAAATAAAGGCCGGCTATTTACAAAAGTTATAAACTTTAGAAAAACCATGGATCGCGTAGCCGATGCTAGACATATCCCAGGGGACAAAATGTAAAGTACCGGCCGAAGACCGTCTACTTATAAAAGCATTAAAAGTTAGATACATAAATCCAGATGAAAGCCGGATTTTGTATCCAAACTTTCGACCGAATAACCGGGTATTTCCCCATGAAAAGATTTCTTTGCCATAATCAGGATGAAAATACCTACCCCATAACAGGGTTTATGTTCGCAATCGTTTTGGACATAGTCCCTATTATTATTGGAAATATGTTCGCTACTTTCAGGAAATTATGACCCATTTTTGGACATAATCCCCACTCCATTATGGGGGTTATTACCGAAAAAAACAGTCATAATCCCCATAACTGTAATGAGGATTATGTCCGTTGGCATTATGATATGGCACCTTCAGAAAATCTTAATAGCAAAATTTCAGAACTTGACCTCAATATTTGTTTATGTGTTTTCCTGTAATTATGGAAAAAAAACTGAAATCAGTTACAGCCATTATGCTTTTAATTGTTTATTATTTCACAAATTAACGTTATATGAGTTATATTGAAATCGGTAAAGATTTGGATATAGATCCTTTATATATTTTTGACCAATTTCGTTTATTTGATACCTCAAATGTATGATATGTATGTTCGATTCCAATGAAATTTGGAATGTGTGACGAAAATTGCCAAATTATATTGAAATCGGTTGAGGTTTGGGTATAGCTCCCATATATATATTTCGGTCGATTTTCAATGAAATTCAGAATGTGTGGCGGAATTTGGTTAAAATAATTAATTTGATAAATTAATTAGAAAGCGGTTAAGATTTGGATATAGCTCCCATACATATTTTCTCGGCCGATTTCACATATTTGATACACCAAACACGGCATGTACCTCCAATTTCAATGACATACGGAAGGTGTGACGGAATTTGGTGTAAAATTAAATTTTTCAAATTGTACTGAAATCGCTTCAGATTGGGATATGATCTTATTAAGAAGCATTGACCCACAACGCCTTTGCAATGGTCATAGGATGATACGATTATTACGGGGAAGTATGTTGCTACCTCGAATTCTCTAATGGCAACAGAAATGCCACTCAACTTCTAAAAATTGCAGTTTGCTATGAAATTAATAAATCCGAAAGACAAACTCTTTGTAAATTTGGCATGTTCCTGCCTTCCTCATGCGAAGCGCACCGGGTTCAGCTAGTCAAATATAAAATAGGGATTCACACATATTTTGCGGTTTATATTCGTCACTCTCAAATTTTATTTTTTAACAAAATTTTAATAATTTTATTATTTTTTTTTTTTTTTTGCAATTGGTGGGAAGCCTATGACACAAGAACAAATTTTGATATACTTTCCTATCTATCGTTAACGCAAACAATCTGCATCTAAATTTATTTAACCCTCAGTTAAATCAAAATTTATCAGCAACTGTGTCATTGTCCTTTTAGTCAGGAAATTTTATTAGAATTAAATAAAACCAGCATTTAGGGAGCATCCCTGATATCTTTCCTACCAATTGTTGATGACATTAAAAAAAAACAAATTTAAATAGCCCTCGGCGATCTCATGTCCATTACAGTTTTTCTTACCATAAGGTTTTAATATTTCAATGATACTCAAACCAAGCTAATCGAATTTGTAACATTTCCGAAATGACAGGAACAAAGGACTAAGTAAACATTAGGCGCACGCCTGACAAACCAGCCACAAAGGTAAACAGAGAATTGCTTGTATTCGGTAATTGTTGGATGCCTCAGGGGAATTTTTTCAAAATGATACAGTAATAATTTAATTAAATCTGTTTTTGGCAGGCAGACAGTCAGTACTCACAGCCAGAATTACAGGGGGAAGTTTACGAATTTATTTCTCTTGCTTACATTATTTTTCAAATAATAAAGCTAGATGTGATATTTTTAAGACAAACTAAAAATATGTAGAAATCCACTGAAAAATTGATCATAGGAATAGAACGACTCTATTTATGATGTTTCCAAAGTTTAATATCGACAGAGGCTGGATACATTTCTTTGTTCAGAAACGCATAATGAAAAGTGATCTAAAATATTTCTTTGAGCCTATTAAAATTTGAATATATTTTCTCAGATCAGAACACATAAAATCAATAGTAAATAAGTAAGCAAAGGGACACCCTACAACACGGTAAAGTTCCTGTAAGTTCTATACGCATTGAATAAAATGAAGGACATGGTACAGTAACAAAGGTAATCTCATGCAATCGTAAGATTACATTTTTTAATGTCCCTTCATTCCCAAATTTAAATTTTTAAGACAGACCTAAAAAACGCCATTGGAGGATTACATTATTAACTAATAGTATCTAGAAATATTTAAATATTAAATCTTATTTTTTTATTTTTAAAATGAATAAATTTCGTTTTCCTGAGATGTGGAACACATAACTGTTTTACGTATCAGAAACACCTAAAGCAAAAATTATTTATTTACTATACCCTATACAGGGTGAGATAAAAAAACTGCAATAAAGTCAAACGCAATTATTTTAATTTTTTTTTTAATTTTATTGAATGAAAGCAAAAATGTCGAAAATAGCATCAAATATTAGAATAAGTTTAGATTTGTTCGAATTGGTCACCTTTGGCACGAATTATGGCCTTCAAACGGCTAATGAAACCCTCACACGCTACCCGAATGTTGCTTTGCGACGGTGATCGACACTTTGGTATTTTTTAGTGTCAACCTTGCTTTACAAAATACTCCAGACACAATAGTCCAACGGATTGGTATCCGTGGTATTGGTGGCCATTGTGCGCTGGAAATGAAGCGAGAAACCACATTCTGTAACCATTCTTGGGTGGCGCGTACTGAGTGCGATAGTGCTGAATCCTGTTTGAATGTCCAAGGCCAAAATGTTTAATACACCCTCGAGAATATTTTCGCCAAAATATTCAGCATATATTCTGATGCCACGGTCGATTAATAGGAGCGGAGAGCCACCATCGGCTGTTATGGCGGCCATACACACCATCACCATTGCCGGCGCTTGAGTTGTGGTGGCCAACCGTAGGTGCACATTCTCAGCTGACCTCTTTGGCAAGTAAACACGATTATTTTGTTTGTTTACAAACTGCTGGACAACGAATGTTTTCTCATCGGAGAAAGCCAAATTCGGCAGTTCACCAGTTTCGGCCAAGCGAATAGAACATTGCGATGTGTTCAGCCACTGCGACGTGGGTTTCGATCAAGTCGCTTCTTTACTTTTCGAACCATTTCTTCTGATGTTGCTGTTTTCTTCCGCCCACTTCCTTGACGTCGGGCTACGCTACCAGCTTAGAAACACCTTTACTAAATTTTATAGAGATCGGTTCAGATTTGAATATAGCTGATGGCGTTGGTGGTGGAAAAATATGTGATGTCACGATATCGTCGTAGCATTATGTTATAATTTTACAGAGCTGACGCTTTTTAAGGGTTGTTGTTGATTTTATAGATTCAATATACAGGAAATGCTCTGGAACAGATTTTTGAGAGCATGTCTATCATACCTGATATTTTTTCCGCGTATTTCCGCCATTTTTCGGCGATATGGGAATAACATTTTTTTCTAAAATTTCCAAGGCATTTCTGTTATGTCGCGTGCCATCTATTACCTGATAGAAAAATTAAAACCCATATGCATTTTGTCCAGTCTTTATAGTTTTAGGTCTTTGATTTCTGTTATGTCGCCTGCCATCTGTTACCTGATAGAAAAATTAAAGCCCATATAAAAAATTATTGAAATTTGTAATATCTTTTGAAAAATGCATATCATATTAACATCTGATTGGCTTCGTATAGGAAGAATAAGAGAAAAATTAAAATTTTTGGCATATCCCCTAAATACAATTTTTTTCTTTTGGAGCCCTATTCTGTCAAAACAAATTCACATTGTGTGATTGTGTGTGTATTGTTTTGAATAAAAAAATGCAATAATTTGAAATTATTTCAAGTTTGGTGGCAAATAAACGCTAATTTTCGACGTAAATGGGTAGTCGTGATAAAACTGTATTACCCTATAATTTTAGATTTAATCTTGTGGAATAACGCCAAAATTCCATTCTTGTTTCGAGTTTCCAAATATAACAATTTTGTAAAAAATTAAAAAAATAAAACCAACTGTTGCATATTTAAAAGTCTGTGGCCCGTTCTCATATCACTCCTTTATATTCCACTTTTGTTATCCCTTACTTTAGGAAAAGTAAAGGATAAATTTTACATCGGGTTTTGATCATTACATCTTTCCGTTAAAATAAATTATTTTTTTACAGAGATATGGCAAGCTTTTTGTAAAAGTACCTGGTAGTCGGTGCATTTTTTCACAATGTCAACTTCATTTTAGTCGCAAAATAATAAACAAAACGAATTTGTAATTAATTTCGTGAAATAAATCTATATTTCAGTTCTTCAATATAAAACAAACGATTTGCGTTAACCATTGTTTTAATTAAATAAATTTTGCTCCGACAACGTAATTTTTTTGATCTATCGGTTACTCAGTGTCTCATACCACCCAAACATATGGTGCAAAAGACATATGAAAACATATGTCAGAAGAAGAAGAAGTAATAATTAACAGCTGTTTTTAGACCATGCGCATGTAAATAAATTGTTTGTAGTTTAGTTCTAACTTGAGAACAAGAACAAAATTATATAAGTAAATGTAAATAATTAACGAAAAGTATTACAAGAAATGTGCTGAAAAATAAGTGGACAGATAAAGCCGGTGCCTGCAAACCAACTCATGTTCCGAATTAAAACGGTGTCAATGCAAAAAATAAGAGAGCCTTGACCCTTCAACAGATGTCAGTGAATTAGATGATCGATTGAAAAATCACAGAAAGAAGAAACAAGTTTAGTTTAATGCATACTGAAGTAAACCGCATCTTGCCATTTAAACTAACATAAGGTAAGAGCTATGGCTATGTAATATCAGGGATATAATTCATACATGATTCTATTTTCGCTTTTCAGAATTACATCGCCTGTACCCTTTCCCCCTTTAATCCAAAATATACCAATGTTAAGTTTGCGAGGATTGCTCATACACTCAAGATTTCCCAAGCCCAGTTGCTTAGGTGTGAAATTTCAAGCCACAAACACTGAAGATAGAAGAATTCATAATCGAAAACCTGTAAACTTAATAACACCCACCTGCAACTATTTGAGATTGGGACCAAGATGTTTACACAAATCTTCGCTATTGCTACAGCAAGACATCAAAGATAAAGTTTCAAATGTGACGCCAACCACAAAACTGACTGAAAAAGTTGCAACAGCAATTTCCCCTTATGTACGCCTTATGCGTATGGATCGACCCATTGGTACCTACCTCCTATTCTGGCCCTGTGCATGGAGTATAGCATTGAGCGCCAATGCTGGTTGTTGGCCTGATCTCTATATGTTAGCATTATTTGCCAGTGGTGCTTTGATAATGCGTGGAGCTGGCTGTACCATAAATGATTTGTGGGATCGTGATATTGATAAGAAGGTGGAAAGAACGCGCAATCGGCCATTGGCTAGTGGTGAAGTGACACCATTCGATGCCATAGTATTCTTATCTGCCCAATTAAGTTTAGGTCTGCTGGTCCTGTTGCAGTTGAATTTGGAATGTATTATGTTGGGTGCATGTTCCTTGGGTCTGGTCGTAACCTACCCGTTAATGAAACGTATTACCTATTGGCCTCAGTTAGTATTGGGTATGGCTTTCAATTGGGGAGCCTTGTTGGGTTGGTGTGCCACCCAAGGTTCTGTAGATTGGTCGGCATGTTTACCTCTATATCTCTCTGGCATATGTTGGACGATAATCTATGATACGATTTACGCCCACCAGGATAAAAAAGATGATGTACAAATTGGCGTAAAGTCAACAGCTTTGCGTTTTGGGGACAACACAAAAATCTGGTTGTCTGGATTCACAGCGGCAATGTTATCGGGACTCACAGCAGCTGGTATGGCATGTGATCAAACGTTACCGTATTACGCGTCTGTGGGTATCGTTGGCGGTCACCTAATACAACAGGTAATTATATTAGAGAATGTCCGTCTTTGGTCACCGAAGTGTATTCAACGCCCTAAGAATTTATATTTTCACTAAAACTTTATACGGCAAAAATCAGAAACATTTTATAAAATCTCTGATTTTTTGAGTAACCGGCAAAAGTAAGAAAATTTCGGTAATTAACGAAATTTATCGGTGAGGTAACGACGAAATCAAAGTCGTCGCTAAGACCTACCGATAGATACCAATGTTGTCAAGTTTGGGTTTAAAAGTTACCGATTTTTGTCGGTAACTCAAAAAATGAGTTAGAGAATCGAACTACAGAATTTGTATTTGAGTTGAATAAGACATATATTCCAGAACCTCACATCAATTACGATAATTATTTATTATTTTTCGCTTAAAAAAATTAAACAATTTTGCATTTGTTTAAAATTAATTTAAGAATAATTTTGACTTAACAAATGACTTAAAATTAATATATTTTCTTTCTTCGTTACAGATCTACTCCCTAAATATCGATAACGCTACAGACTGTGCCAAAAAGTTCTTTTCCAATAGTCAAGTGGGATTAATATTATTTTTGGGTATTGTACTTGGTACCCTACTCAAATCGGAGGACACTACAAAGGAAACAAAAACGAATAAAACAGCAATTAGTAGCAGTAATAGTCCGACAATTAATGGGTTTGTACCATTACCATCTACGTAGTCTTACTTTACACATAGGTTAGGTTAAATTTTAGTTTATTTTTTCTATCACCAAAGTACTTTGTTTAACAAGTAATTGCACATTTTTTAGTTCATAATTAAAAAAAATATTTATCGATAACGATAAAATTTTTTAATTGCTTATTATTAATGTAAATTGGCTTATAGTTTGTATACAATACAGGATTAACATGTTCTTTTCTGGGAAGCTTAACACTTCGTTCAATAAATAAAGTCCAAGTTTTGTTCTCAATTCAATTTGTCCAATGTTTTTTTTTTTCTTCAAATATTTGTGTTGAGGAGAAATTTGAAAAATATTTATATTATCAAATCTTCCACGGTCCTAACTCCGATAATCGTTGTCAACGTTACTAGTCATGCAAGTCGGCTTCAAGTGAAAAATATCGTTTAAAATTCATAAAGGAAGAACTTAAGCCAATTTACACAAAGTTGTATCGACTAGACTTTTAACTGGCTTTTATCAGGTGAGTCACTCCAACAGGTATCGCTTTTATTTGTTTATGTATCTTTCGATGCTCCGAAGTTTTCAGTGAAAAATAAACTACGAAAAAGTATGACTAAGCATACGAAACCAGTGGAAAAATAATCAGTCCTGTCAGAATGCCGCCCTTAGAACCGCAACAGGGTGCCTCCTCATGACACCTGACGATCACCTACATGAGGAGGTGAAGGACTTACGGGTGCGACAGCAAAACAAAATGCTATCAATGCAATACCTGCTTGTGCGTTATAGACAAAGCCATCCGAATCACCATCTTGTGGATAGGCAACCTCCACCCAGACACGTAAGGAAAGACCTTCATGATCTAGAGAGAGAGGTGCAGAGGTATAAGGGAGAGCCTCTAGATCAACAGGAGTTATTGAAGAATATAGAGTGAATAATGTACTAAGAGACCATCCCCCACCCATCGCATCTGACGAACTAGAGCTGTCCGACAAACCCGAGTAGTTTTGGCTCAATTACGATTCCATACAGGTTGCATCCTTTTTGAGACTGGATTTAGAGGCAGAACCAGATTGAATGGAGTCAGAAAATGGATATAGATCGAACACAGCTGTATGAGCTACTACAACAAAACAACAACAAAGATTATTTAAGAAGCTTCATAGAGATGACAACGGCTGATTTCCGAAACTCGGTCTTAATGCATAATCTCCACGATAAAATCCCTCAAAGCTTTCGACCCATCTTAATAATTATGTCGAAAATTCTGGAAAAGAAGAGGAACATCAGATTGGAACTGGTGCTAGAAAAAACATCACAAATTTCAAATGTTCTTCAGAGATGAAAACTTGAAGTAGTCAGCTTCATGTCTAAAACCTCCAAGCTTTTCACCTACCTCATTAATAATGCTGAATAATCTGGGACTGACAATATTGCGATGCCACATACTTTCTTAAATCGGAGAATTTTATCGGCAGTATTTTCGAAACTTTGTTAACTTAGTCATTGACCTCATATTAGCACTAGTATATAAAGATACTCAGCACCACTACACCTTTCTGGTTGTGGCTTTGAGTTTATCTAAGACCTCAGCATTGATATAATGACATCCTGATTTCATCTCTGTCTAAAAATATGTAGGAAAACGTTCGATGAATTGCGAAGTGGGAAATCTCGTTACAGCCGTTGCATTTTGGTCACGACCACCATCAAAAGCCTCAAGCTGAGAATTTAGATTTTGAACTTGGAAGAAAAGTAGATGAGAGATCAGTTAACTGTTCTGAACCATACATTTATAAGAATCGTTTTCACGATTTTCTAACATTTGACAAAAATCTCCTAATTGACGCCACAGCAGTACTACATGGAACGGGAGTAATTAAGCCAGACTATTCATCTTGATTTCGTTGCTCCTTTCGGAACGTCTTTTCATCGACGACACATGATAGTGAGTAATACAGAGAATCCAGGCACCAAACTCTCGCAATTGATATTGTATTTATATCTAATTAATTTCGATCGAAATTGGTCCTAAATCAAGAGACCCCAGAATAGCGAGACAGCTCCAATTGCAACCAATTGAGCAAGGTAGATGAGAAAGAGAAATCCAAGATTTGTACTGATCTAGCAGCTTAACATACCACTGACCTGACAGCATGTACCGTGCAAAATAATAAGCAGAAACAAAATGAAAAGCAGGAAAAAGTTCCTCAAGGCGAAAGCCGGCAGCATTTGTTTGTCCGAGCCAAGCAGACCTTGTTGACCTCTTATAACGCGATAGGTCGGTTTGTGGTCAGCTATACGACCCCAGTGTGGTCTGGGAATAAAAGTGCTACGCAGTGGAAGAACATCCAGACCTATAAGAATCCCCTGCCCTGAAAACTTCCACAGGGTGCCTCCTCATGACACTAGTGGACCATCTACATGAGCAGGCGAAGATCCTTCCCTTATCCCCCAACCAGCTGACCCGCCTGGTCATACATGATCTAGAGAGGAATGTCCAAGAGAGCCTAGAAATATTGAATGCCTTCGTTTCCTTTTAAATATTTAATATCTTTAGCTAAAATCAATATCGTTCTAAAGGTAAGAATACATAAAACTTTTTTTTTTTTTTGACTGGCTTAAGTCATTGGGCCAAAATCAAACTAAGTTAACCTAAAACTCCTTTGTTCCTCTACGAAAAAGCAAGCCGATAACTTAAGAACGCTTTATATATTCTCACCTTAAGTTCGATGTTGGCCGTACGCTCCTTTGTTCTTTTCCGAAAAAACAGTCAAAAAAGCGTTCTATAGGTGGGAATACATAAAGCGCTTATTTGTATGGCTTAAGTCATCGGCTGGCTTCTTCGTAGAGGAACAAAGGAGTTTTAGGTTGACTTAGTTCGATTTTGACCCTAGGCTCCCTTGTTCATTTCTGAAGAAGCCAGCCGATGGCTTAAGGCAACCAAATAATCGCTTTCTGTATTCTCACCTTAGGTTAGGTTAGGTTAGGTTAAAGGACGCGCGGTTACCATATGGCAACCGCTCCACTCGGAGACCTATAGGTCCATTGTGTGCATCCTAGAAGAATGTTAGGAATAGAGGAAAAAAGTGATTGGTAGAAGAGGTGAAGATAAGAAATAGAGTTATAGAGTGTTATCTACGGCTGAGGAGTTTGCCGTGTCGTCTTTAGCCACTTGAATCTTCTGGCTAATCGAAGGATTACTTAGGGTCAGTGTTAGAAAAAGAGGACAGATCATGTGACACTAGTTCTCCCATTAGTCCGTGTCTCACATTAATGAGTGATGGGCAGTGGCGGAGCAAGTGTTCGACTGTCTCGATTTCTTCTTCATCTTGACAGTTCTTACAGTAGTCAATGTCGTCGCTGTCCCATTTCGAGGTCATAGCCCTCACTTTACAATGATCTGTAATGATACCCAACACAAGTTTTAAATCAGGTTTTGACAATGACATCAGCGATCTTGTTCTCTTCTCTGAGAATGTAGGCCAGATTCTTTTGGAGATGGTGTATCCCATTTCGTCCAGCCATTTTTGTGGGATTCTCTCAGAGTAATGTCTGTAAATAACCTGTAGGGAATGGCACGTGGTGGTTTAACCGAGTTATCTCCTGAAGGCACCCGTTATTAGTAGGGATGCGGCTCTTTGAACTTTGTTAATGTGTCGTGAGTAGGTTGACATCTTCAAAGAATGCCACCATAGAATGGGGCGAACGATTGATTCATACATCCATTTAATGATGTGTGGTTTGAGGCCCCAGCTTTTACCTATGGAGTTCTTACAGGAATAGAGTGCGATCAAGCCTCTTTTAGCTCGTTCCTCAATGTTCCTCTTCCAACTTAATTGGCGGTCAAGGATAGTACGAAGGTATTTGGCTTCTGGTGAGAGGTTTAAAGTGACTCCATCTAGTCTCGGTGGTGTAAATGAAGGATATATACGTATTCTCACCCCAAATTTATTCCAAACGAATGCGAGAATTTGACCCCAGAACGGGGTGTTGGGAATAGCTCCAATGGCAACTTATTAAGCAAGGTAGATAATCTTGAAGTGGAATACAAGATTTGTACCGATTCAGCAGCAAAGCGCCCTATCTATGGAAGAAAATCGATTTAAGATATCTTCACAGTTTTGAATGAAAGTCACATGACTTTTTACTGGGCAAAGTTCGACATCAGTTTTAAGAGAATCGTTTTGAATATTCAAATTTTGAAATATGAAGTCAGGAAAGAAAAATTTTAGAAGCTGTTTAGCAATACATTTTTTTAAAGAAATGTTAATTATGTTTAGAATGCCCTTCAGAAGTTCGGATGCTGCGTACTGCGACGCATAATTCTAATCGATGTAAAGAAATAAATTTTTGAGGAGCTACTTTAGTTTTAGATGAGAGAAGATTTGTGGAAATGGTGTCATTCGAATTTATAACACGAATGTAAGCTACCTTCGAGTAAACCTTTTCTGACCCATTAGTTCGACTTGAAAATTCGAAGAGTATCGGACCCAATGAGAAATAAAAAATTTACTTGACTTCAAGGTAGAATTCAACGTAAATTTTGCCATTCGCCTTTTGTTGACCAAACACAATTGCTACATCAAAAGGGAACTACGACAGTAAAGCCCGTTAGACCATACCACTTAACGTCAAGAGAACATCGATAAATGGGGCTCTGAAATATCCAAGGTCTGCGGCCAAAATGTTTGCGTTCCCAAGGCTTTAATACACCCTCCAGAATATTTTCGCGATAATATTCCGCATTTATTCTGATGCCACGTTCAATTAATACGAGTGGAGAGCGACCATCGGAGAAAACCAAATTCGGCAGTTCACCACTTTGGGCCAAGCGAAGCAATTCTTTAGCTCTTTTGAGTTTATTTTCTTTCCGTTGCGGTGTAAGTTCTTGCCCTTTTTGGAATTTCCATGGGTAAGGTAATTTTTTAATATTTGCCGAGTTGAATATTGCGATATGTTCAGCTCACAAGCCATTTTTCGGCCACTGTGACGTGGGTTTCGATCAAGTCGCTTCTTTACTTTTCGAACAATTTCTGCTGATTTTGCTGTTTTCTTCCGTCCACTTTCTTGACGTCGGGCTACGCTACTAGTATCACGGTAACGAGGGATGGTACGAGACACAAAAGATTTATTCACATTTTAATGCTGGAGTGCTCTAACGATAACCGCTTGTGGTTTTCCAGTCAAATATAAAGAAATCACACCATCACGCTTGAATTCCATCACGTCATCACGTTTTTCATCTCACCCTGTAATTAGTTAGGTTAGTAGTTTATCTTAAATGTATAAATAGCCAGAATTATTTCTCCAACCAACGATGTCTTGTGAGAAAATTTAAGAGCCCATATTTCGAGGTCTGGACACTTTGTATAATTTACTCAAATTTCCCCATCACAAATTTTCCCACCTGGGAATGAATCAAAGAATAAAACAACTTCGTTTAAACTAAAAGTGTTTCCTAGGAATAAAATATATTTTCGTTTCTTTTTTTCAATAAATTTAATTAGATTGAATCCAATTAATACAATAAGCGGTGTTTGACAAAAAATTATAATCTAAACATATTTAATTTTAAATAATTTTCTTTTTATAATACGAAAAAATATTTAATATAAATCCCTTGTAAATAGTGTGGTTGATAAGTAGTAAAATTTATACTACAACTACTACTTTTGTTATTACGAAATAAAAAAAAACGTTACATTAAAAGAAAAATAAAAATAAAATTTATGATTTTTGTAAATGGTTTGGTGTTTATGTTGAAAATGAATCTGATCAGGGAATTTTTGTGGAAAAATCAAAAAAACATACCAAACCTCATGATGTTTCGAAAATCAAATTCTAAAATTTAATTTTGTAATGTTAAAAAATTATTTTTTTTTGACAAGTTTTAAAAACTTTTTGTATTTAGTAATTTTTAATACATATTTCATTGTTGTTTATTTGTTGTTATTAATGTTGGAATATTTTTTGTTGTGTATTGTTTTTCTTGTTTTTAATGTTAAATAGCCTTTTCAGTTTTTTTAAGTTTTAATTTGAAATATTTTTTTAGAAATCTAAAAAAAGAATATTTAAAATAATAAAAAATAACGTATGTTTTTGAGCAAAGCCTAAATTTTGTTCTTAAAATTCAAAAATTTAAAAGTAATGAATTTTTAAATATATTTTTATAAAATGATTTAATTTCAATTGTTTACAAATAAAAAATGGTTTGTTTTTGATATATAATTTTTTGTTTTGTTTTACATTCAAGCCTTAAAGTTCATTTTAGTTTTCAAACATTAAGATTTCTTATAAATTATAAAAATTAACATAATAATTACAAATATTAAAAAATATTGAAAAATAAGCGTTTTGAACAGAAAAATACATATTTTACAATAATTTTGTTTTTTTTTTTTTTTCTTTTTTTGTTTGTTTAGTTTCTTGTTCTTTTTTGCTTTAGAAACAAGCAAATACACACATTTTCACATTTTGTTATTTTTGTTTTATTTTATATTATAATCGGCTTAGAACAAAATACGATAGCATGTTCCAATGTAATTCAAAGAACTTTATGCAGTTTCCACACACTTTTTTATTAAATCTTAATTTTCAATTTTTGAAATTCTGAATTTTACAATTGTTTTCGGCATTTATATCGCCATCTAATTTAAAAACTTTCATTTGACATTTCTAAAAAAGTCTAAAATTCTTTAAATTACATTTGAAAAAGGCCATAGTGTTATTCCTAAATATATAATTTAAATTTCTTAGAAGGAGAAAAAATTAAAATTAATTCGAATACAATTTAAAATTAACTTTTTATTTTGTATACTTATAAAAAAGAATATGTTAGAAATCTTTCTAACCTCATCGGTGCCGGGCAAATCCTCATACACAACAACAATTATATCCAAAGTTTTGTTGTATGTTGTTGGCATTTCTTGTTTACGTTTGCACTAAACCTCTGATATCGTTCACAGAGGTGGTTGATCCTCCAACACCACCCAGTACTACACTTCCACCGACACCGCCACTACCAATTGGTAAACCACCACCAACTACATTAGTTCCTGCAAACAAAGATGCAGTATCCAGAATACCATTAGGTACAGCAGTCACACCCTCTGTATTACATATATCGCCATTATCCATCAACATATCATCGCTAAAATCAAGAAAATCTCCCAATTCGGAGCCAATGGTTTGTTGTAAAGTTTTCAGATGTTTGTCGGCAAGTTCAATGGCTCGTTCAATTTCATCACTTTCATCTTGATGGACTATAAATGGGGAAAAGGAAGTAAAATTATTATTACATAAATAATAAATGTCACAAGTAAGTTTCTGTAAATCTAGATCCCTTTTGACAAGTTTACTGGAATACGTTATTGGACTTCCTTACAAACATTTTAATTTGAAATCTTTGAAAATTTTTATTTCCGTATACACTAAGCTATACCTCCAATATTTGGTTATCCAATATTTAGTATCGAAATCACCATCAATATCAAAAGTGATTTTTTCATGTTTTTATGATTTTGGCGGAAAGTATCATTCAGCAAAAATATTCGCCGTTGAATGGAAAAAATGGTATTTTCACAAAAAAGTTATGGTCCCGCTCAATATTATCCAAGGATCATCCAAAATTGTGGGCTTCTACGCTGTCCTAAACTACAACCCATTCAAAATTGTAAAATTGATAAGGCTCTCCACAAAGTGGTGTGGGTATAAAATTGATTTGTGAAATTAGTTGGGTTATTAATTTATATATTAATAAAATATAAGGCGGGACGAATTGTCCTTTTTTGACATTAAGGTTGTCTTGCTAGAAATGCTTATGATTTAAAACATAGACAAACATGTAAAAGTCCTAAACCGAAGAAACCATTTTGTAAAAGCTATACCAAAATGCAATTCATTATTAGAGTATTTCTACTCAATGTGGCCTATGATTCACCAAAGACTTCCTTCCGATATTTTTTATGTGTAGGTAGAACGGTAGTACCTTCATATAAGGGCTATACCAAAACGTGAACATTTTTTGCATGGATGGATTCTACATACTAAGAACTTAAATTACGACAAATTACCGAAATTAGTTGAGACAACATGAGCCAAATTCCTCCATAAATTTTCAAAGCAGGGTCAAGGCTATATAAAACCAAAAATAAATTTATTTTTATAATAGCCGTTGACAGCTACTTCGTCAGCGAAAAGTCCATCTTAAAATTTTAGACTCGTTTTAACAGTTCGTGCTAGGCCTTTTCTGTGCTCAAAATCTACAATTTGTTCAATTTTTTAATCAAAACTTCATACAGGGTGAGATGAAAAAACTGCAACCAGTTTCAGACTGCTGTCATTTCTAAGCCACTCGTCCGGCAGCTATTAAAATTATTTTTCTGACAGCTCATTATATTGTTTACAAGAGTACAAAAGCCTTTTGATGATAATTTTCCAGAAAAAAAGTTATCCGTGATGGAATTCAAGTGTGATTTCTTTATATTGGGCTGGAAAACCACAAGTGGCTATCGTTAGAGAACTCTAGCATTTAAACGTGATACTGGTAGCGTAGCCCGACGTCAAGGAAGTGGACAGAAGAAAAAAAGCAACATCAGCAGAAATGGTTCGAAAAGTAAAGAAGCGACTTGATCGAAACCCGCGTCGAAGCGGCCGAAAAATGCCTCGTGAGCTGAACATATCGCAATATTCCATTCGGTAAATATTGAAAAATGAGCTCGGGGTAAAGCCATTAAAATTCCAAAATGTGCAAGAACTTACACCGCAACAAAAAGAAAATAGACTCAAAAGAGCTAAAGAGTTGCTTCGCTTAGCCGAAAGTGGTGAACTGCCGAATTTGGTTTTCGCCGATAAGGAAACATTCGTTGTCCAGCAGTTTGTAAACAAACAAAATGATCGTGTTTACTTGATAAAGAGGTCAGCTAAAATTATGCACCTTCGGTTGGCCACCAGAACTCAAGCACCGGCCATAGTGATGGTATGGGCCGCCATAACAGCCGATGGTCGCTCTAAGCTCGTATTAATCGTCAGAATAAATGCCTAATATTATCGCGAAAATATTCTGAAGGGTGTATTAAAGCCTTGGGCACGCAAACATTTTGGCCACCGACCTTGGACATTCCAACAGGAATCAGCACCATCGCACTCAGCACGCGCCGTTTGAAGGTCATTATTCGTGCCAAAGGTGGCCAATTCGAACAAATCTTATCAAAAGTTATGGCGTTTGACTTTGTTGCAGTTTTTTTTTTATCTCACGTCATACAAAATTTCAGAATTTAAAATTATTTTAATATTCAAGTTTTCCATTTTCGGAAAGAATAATAGGAAAATGTTAATCTTTCACACCAAAAAGTATTCAAAATCTTTCTTTTGAATTTTACGGAGGAGTATTTAATAAAACCATAAGCAAGGCCTAAAAACCAAAATTATATGTCTATCCCCTCACCCAGTACCAAATATAGTACCATTAAGCACTTCTTGTACAATTATAGTACACATTTCCGAAACCACCTATGTCCAGGCTACAAAACCACCTCTTTATCACAACCTACCACCAACAGGGACCCTAATACAACATTCCAACTTTACTAAACTAAACTGTTAAACATTTAGCACCAACTGTGCTGCAGTTCGCACACTTGGTACTCATTTCCAAAACCACCTTTATATATCAAACTTACTTTCCAATCTTCTCATACCAAATTTCAGGTTTTTAGCTCTAGCCGTTCACATAATACCAAATGGTAGAATTTTAGAACTTTTGGCAACCTTAAAGTTTGAATTTCCAAAAACTTTTTGGCACATATATCCTGCACTCCATTAGTGCCTCTCATTCCAAAGTATTCGATTTTCAGTACATTTTACCACTTTTCGTACGTTTTTAGTAAGAATTTCTAAAAATCTAGCCTTATCACACGTACCAAGACTGATCCTCGCGCAAAGTTTCAAGATTCTAGATGCAGCCGTTTTAGTCACATATTTTACTACTCTCCTGTCAAAGTTATATGTCCAATAATTTAAGTAAATCAATAAATTGTCAATATTATTTTTTTTTAATTTAAAAAATCGAATATTATAACAAATATTTCCAAACACACTATATAGCTAATATACGCGGATTGTATAGAAAATTAATCCGAGAATATCAAACAATGTGGATGAGGGGGAAGCTTGTCCCGTCTATTTAGTTTACTTTGCGATGTAAACTTTCAAAAGACCAATACACGTGTCTCCTAATTTTGCTCTATTGGAATAATCTGATTACTTTCTCAATTAGTTTAAAGTTATGTTGGTAGTGTAAAGATGTCTGATCTTCACACACTGTCTCTATAGCTCAAAAGAGTAAAACCAAAGTCATTTTTATTTACCTGTTGCAAACAACTCCTTAAATGCATCCTCTGGCAAAGAATTCAAAACATTTGCCAAATCGTTCTCTTCCAGCAAATGTGTATCGCCCAAAGGTATATCATCTAGAAACATTAGAAGAGAAACAATTAGAAATCCACCTTACCAAAAATGATATTAATACTCACCACCATCGGGACCGCCTAACATCAATTCGGGATCACTTAAACCTCCTAAACCAGTGTCGACAGAACTGGCTGAACTATTCTCACATATGCTGAGGAAATCATCTGCAGCGGTGGGCAATGATGTGGTTGAACCCATACCCGAAGAAGTAAAATTAGAATTGGAATTTGTATTAATGGTCATAGGATCGGTTGATTCCAAAAGTGAAGATGTTTGTAAAGCGGAATTGGTTGTAGATGGTTTATGCAGTTGGGCAGATGTAAAACTAGTCAAACTGGATATGAAATCCTTGAATTCTGTTGTTGGTGAAATGGCGGATGTGCTGCTATTGTTGTTATTGTTGTTGTTTATATTATTGACCAAAGAGGAATGTTTATTTATTTGACCATTTGAAGTGGTGTCATGTCCAAAACTAAACAAATGTTGTGGTAAACTGTTATTGGCCATAAAACCGCCAGTACTAAGTGGAGCTAGAGCTGGTGGTGGCAATGTGTTTACCAAAGCTTGCTGTTGATTTGAGAATGAGGTGTTGCTGCTATTGCTGGTCATGGAATAGAGCTGTTGTGTTGATTGTGGTGGTTGCGAGGTGTTGGACGTTGTTGAATGCTGCGAATTGCTGGCTATGGATTCTAATGATGTGGTACTGCCCTTGCGACGCAAACCCGTTGAGGGTAAACGTGGCAGCAACTGATTCGTTGACAATGCTGTTTGCATGACATTGGACACAGCATTTGCTGTTGTCGCCGATGACAATGTAGATGCATCTTGCAGTTTCTTTGGACGCTTTTGTGGTCTACCAACTGGGTTACCAGTTTGCTTTCTTTTACGTATTGGTGTTTGCTGCTGTTGATTGCCAATGTTCACAACAGTTGTGGAGGAGGGCGGTCGTTGTTGTTTGTTGCTGCTCTGTTTTCCCAATGAAATTGTAGCAGTTTTATGTGTGACATTTTTATGCAAAACAATGGATGCCGATGTGGGTGTTGCTGTGAGTTTACGTGGTTTCTGCTCATATAACAGACGATTATATGCATCACGTTTCCTGGCATGCTCCAGACACAGTGGCAAATCATGTGTTATATCAAATACTGGTACTCGACATTGTGTGTTATCGGCAAATTTAGCAGTACAAGGAAAGAATAGCTCCTTGCCAGCACTCAAGACGATATGTTTTTGGCAGTGTGTAGCCATCTCCAAAGCTTGACCATCACAGCCTGCGAAAGCGCAAGGCTTGACATTGGCGGGCAGTCTGTAAAAAAGAAAAAGGCCAATTAATTTTCAACGACAATTTTCATATGACATCCTCCTCTTCCTACTTACCCCTTTTCATTTTGTTTGTAGTACTTTCTCAGCAAACGATCAACACACATGAGACGTCGACGGGCTGCCGCCAAGGGTATTTTCTGTAGAGATCTTGTAGAAAGCATTTGTATAGCCTGGCGATGTAGTTGTTGTCGGTAGCATGCTATGCGTTCCTCCCTCAAGGCAGAACGACTTATTTTCTTGCCCGACACCGCCGCCACTGAAGGTTTACGAAATTCATAGGAGTTAAACCAATAATGCTGTATACAATAGGGCAAACCAGTTGCTGTGGCCAAATGAGATATATCCATAGCAGCGGGATCTTCATTGGGATGGTGAGATAATCTAACAATGGCTACGGCACCTTTCGAGTTGGTAGAGCAACCGCTGGGGTAATTATCCAAATGTTGCGACTGGTGAACAGTACTAGATTTGCGGGCATTGTTGGGGGATTTTGTATTCGAAATTTTTGATTTTGACAATGTTGTTGGTTGTTGTGGTCTACAAGTTGGAATGGACTTTTCCAAAGTTTCGGTTTCATTAGCTTCATGTGAGTTTTCTAAGACACAGTCTTGCGTCACTCTCACTCGTCGCTGCTGCTGTTGCTGCAATTTTGTCGACTGTTGTTGGTGTCGATGCTGTTGAGGCGGCTGCTGTTTGGAAGACGTAATGATTTGTTGTTGCTGTTCTGTGTAATGAATTCTCGAGGCGGGTGTATTTGATGCTGTGGCTAAACGATTCCGATTCATTTTATTTTGAGGAGGTGGTGTCGGTGATGATGATGACGATGTCGTCGTGCTCGTTGTTATTGTTGTTGACAATGAAGAGGTTAATCTGTTATTGGCGGCGGCGGGTGTTGTGATTTTATTTTGTTTTTTACACGGGTTATCATTCTGACTCTGCTCTTGCTGCTCTTGTTGCTGGGGCATTAAGGCCATGCGAAAGATAACATTAACCGGAATTTCATTCAATTCTTCACTATCGGAATGTTTGCCAGACTTCATGTTGTCACTATCAACCACCAACGGCTCCACGGAGGAGGGGAAACAGGCGAGGGCTTTGCTCTTCAACAAATCCTCCCCAAAGGGATGAGACGGTGGGGTTGGCGGTGATGCCATTGGTTGTACAGACTTTTTTGGTTTCTTCAAACATTCTAGCTTTTGCAAATGTTGGGCCATTGTGTGGTTGTGGAATTTCGATGGTGGCAAACATGAGGCCGCCAAAGGAGCTGTTGTAGGTGTTGGTTGCACCACAATGGGAGCTACTTTGGCCATAACCGCCGTTGTGGAGGTGTTGCATCCCCCGCCGATACTTGTGCTTAGGCCAACCATATTCCCACCACTTGGTGACAATGCACTGTTCTGTGTTGATGCAGGCGTGGCTGGTGGAGTTGGCACTGCCGCCGCAGGCGCAGCTTCTATTAGGAGCGGTGTTTGCCATAATGAGGGTGTTGGCGGTGTATATAACGGTGGCGGTGATATAGATTTCAAGTCTTCCTCTAACCCCGAGCAAGAGGAGTTAATCACATGATGTGGTTGTTGTTGCTGTTGTTGCAATTGTGGCCTTACAATGCAGACGTTTGTAACTTTTTTGTTGTGGGTTGTTGTTGTTGTTGTCGTCGCTGCCTTGCCGTTGGCCAGAGATTGCGTTGTTACATTTTTAAGAGAACTACTTAGAGAATTGGGAGATGTTGTTGATGATTTTTTATCATAAGACGCCTGCGTCTTGATAGCTGCTAACTTGCCATTGGTTTGTGTTGTTGTTATTTGCTGTTGTTGTACGTTAGCTAAGCTGATTGTGGTTCCACCGATTATTTCACTTAACCGGGAACGAGACTTCTAAAACAAAATAGACAATGGTGATATAATGAAAAACAAACAAAACAATTTAAATCAAAACATAACCGGAGAGCCCGTTAAAATCTAACGGCATTAGAATTAGAATGTGGACACAATTTCGCGTCCAAATTGGAGGAAGTTTAAAATGCATAAATAAAGAAATCTTCTATAAACAAAGCAAAACTCATAGCTATTTAATATCCCCCCTCCAGATGGTACACGATCTTGGACCGAAATAACCTTACCTTCTTTTCCCACCACTACTTTTTTAATGAGGAGTGTTTTGACTCGCAAAAAAGAAACACGAGTCAAGTCATATCAAGAAACTGCATGACGAAGTAATGGCTAAAAAATTGAAAAAGAAAGAACAAAAAACGGTGCATGATAAAGTATATGCGTTGAAAATGAAAACCACGGAAAATTCAAAATGAATTTTTAATATAAACAATTTGTTTTTCTTTATAGGTAAAAGTGTAAAAATATATTATTTTGGGGGATTGTTTGCAAATCTCTGCGGAGTACACGGGAGCTAAAAAAAACAAATGATTACAGAAATGTCCCTACAGTGGTAGATCCCTAAGGGCTAAAAAAAGAAACACTTGTTTTAAATTTAAATTCCAAAATAAAGTAGATAAAGATGTGGTATTTTAACCTATATGTTAACAGTAAAATTTAGTTTTTACTTCTATTTCATCACAGCTGTTTGACCCGTATATTTCAAGTGCAAACGTTTAATAAGGCTTTTCATTCCATTCATTTCAGAACGGGGTTTAAATTCTCCATTTGTGTTTATTAAATTAAATTTAAATCGAGCGTGTGTGTGCGTCAATTGACTCATAAAAAAAACTTGTTTTAAAGCACCATGTGAATGTTATTTAAAAAATAATGTGTTGTTGACCTAAATGTTATAAACAATTGCATTACAAGGCAATTGACCTTAGGAAAATATTATTAATCCAAGCAACGAAAAAGAAAGCTGTCGAAATAAATGTTATTTTTCGTGAAATTGTAACAAAACAAAAGCAACCAAAGAATTTATTCTCATTACAATTTATTTCTTTATACAGGGTGAGATGAAAAAACTGCAACCAACTTCAGACTGCTGTCATTTCTAAGCCACACGTCCGACAGCTGTTAAAATTATTCCAGTGACAGCTCATTATATTGTTTACAAGCGTACAAAAGCATTTTGGCGAGAATTTTCTAGAAAATAAGTTATTCGTGATGGAATTCAAGCGTGATTTCTTAATATTGGGCTGGGAAACATCAAGTGACTATTGTTAGAGCACTCCAGCAATTAAATGTGAATAAATCGTTTGTGTCTCGCACCATCGCTCGTTACCGTGATACTGGTAGCGTAGGCCGACGTCTAGGAATTGGACGGAGAAAGCAGCAACATTAGCAGAAATTTTTCGAAAGGTAAAGAAGCGCCGTGGCCGAAAAATGGCTCATGAGCTGAACTTATCGCAATTTTCCGTTCGGCAAATATTGAAAAATGGGCTCGAGCTAAAGGCATTAAAATTCCAAAAAGTGCAAGAACTATACCGCAACGGAATGAAAATTAACTCAAAAGAGCTAAAGAGTTGCTTCGCTTGGCCAAAAGTGGTGAAGTGCCGAATTTGGCTTTCACCGATGAGAAAATATTTGTTGTCCAGCAGTTTGTAAACAAACAAAATGATCGTGTTTACTTGCCAAAGAGGTCAGCTTTAATTATGCACCTTCGGTTGGCCACCAGAACTCAAGCGCCGGCCATGGTGATGGTGTGGGCCACCATAACAGCCGATTAATCGTCAGAATAAATGCCTAATATTATTCCGAAAATATTGTGGAGGGTGTATTAAAGCCTTGGGCATGCAAACATTTTGGCCGCAGACTTTGGACATTCCAACAGGACTCGGCACCATCGCACTCAGCACGCGCCAGCCACCCAAGAATGGTTACAAAATGAGGTTCCTCGCTTCATTTCCAGCGCACAATGGCCACCAAGATCTCTGGATACCAATCCGTTGGACTGTTGTGTCTGGAGTATTTTGGAAAGGATGGTTGGCACTAAAAAATACCAGTGTCGATAAAGATCAAGCAAGCGCTTCGCCGGGAATGGGCCAAAATACAGCAGAGCAACATTCAGGCGGAGTGTGACGGTTTCATTGGCTGTTTGAAGGTCATAATTCGTGCCAAAGGTGACCAATTCGAACAAATCCAAACTTATTCTAAAATATTACGCTATTTCCGACATTTTTTGCTTTCATTCAATAAAATTTTGAAAAAATGTAAAAATTATGGCGTTTGACTTTGTTGCAGTTTTTTTATCTCACCCTGTATGTGAAAGACAATTTTGAAAATTATTTAAGAATTCGCATTATTTAAGAATTCAGGAGACAGTATAGGTCTCATACTGATCCTAGTATCGATGCTTAACTTAACCCCCGCTAAAGCTAATATACTACATTTTTGGTATAAAAAAATAACGGGTTTGTAATGAAAGTTACTTAACTATTTTGAACCTGAAGTTAAGAAAATGAAGCATAGTTTGATTTTAGAATAATAGCAACAAATAGAAGCAATTAAAGAAATTTAAACTAAAGTGGCACTTTAAATGTGTCCAGTATAAGGCAAGTGGCTATTCCGTTTCCGAAATGAAATCATGAAATTGTACCGATCAGTACAGATGGAACATATCTATGTATTAGGGAGTAATATGAAGTTAAGCCAATGGAGAAATACTCCAGACTTCGGTATTCAAAGTTTATAATAGTTTATAGCTTTGTAGTGGAATGCTCTAACTTATTTTTTGAGTTATCGACAAAAATCGGTAAATTTGAAGCCTAAAATTTTGATATAAACCAGTAAGGAAAAGTCAAAAGTCGGCCGGGGCCGACTATATGATACCCCCTACACCACTATGCATATTCAGTAGAGGTCATTATTTGCACAATAAACCTGAAATCTGATTAAGGATATATATGGGAGCTATATCCAAATATTAGCCGTTCTAGATAAAATTTGGCAGAGGTATTTCTGGGCTGTATCTGATAACCAAATATGATTGTTGTCGAATGCATATTACGAATGTGAGGGATTTAAACACCAAATCGGATAAAACATATATATGGGAGTTATAGCTATATCCAAACCGATTTTCTCCGAATTCGATGTACTTGCTTCTAGGCTGAATTCGGTCGGATGTACCGAAATTCAGGACTTTTTAACTGGTATTGGCTATTTGGTGCACAATTAACCCGAAATCGATTGAAGGGTTTGTCCTTGGGCTAAATAAGTATTGTTTGCAAAATTTCATCTCAATCGAATAAAAAATGCGACCTGCATTTTGTTCACAAAAATACATAGACGGACGGACTGAATGCAAAAATCGAAACAGAAAGATCTTCTATGAAGATCCTCAAAAGTGACGATGGGTCTATCTCGCTTCCTTCTCCCTGTTACAAACAAATGCAAAAAGACATAATACCCTTACCATTGTGAGGGTAGGGTATAAAAAGAAGTTCAATTTGACAACATTGGTATCCATCGGTAGGTCATAGCGACTACTTTAATTTAGTCGCTAACTTACCGGCAAATTTCGTATATTACCGAAATTATAAGCATTTAAATTTTACCGACTTTTGTCGGTAACGGTTCATTCCCATATTCGGTATTTAAATCATCTTAACAACATTTTCCACGAAATAGTTTATAATTTCGCATTTTTTAAAATTTTTAGCCTTTCAATTTATAGCAGCAAATGTTACGTGTGTACACTTTAAGTTGTATACACATGGACAATGGTTGAGCAAATTACAATGGTCTGGAAGTAAACTCAGATATTCACCAAAAATACTAAAGTGCATAAATTATATGCAAATGGGCCTTTCTTTCTGGGTTTTGAACATCCTCGGATGTATGGCTATTTACAGATGGATGAAATCACCGATTCTGGTTAAAATTGAACTAACCCACTTATTAGAAGTTCAAACAAGGCAGCCGAAATGGTAAGAGAATTCAGCAATAACAGAAGAGGACTAGTAACTATATAAGTCGCCAGTTAAATCTATAAAGTCCAGTGTCTTCAAATCGAGACACATTCTCGATTGGAGAAATGTCTGATTAGTTTGCCGCCAGTCGCTTGCGACTTATATTACTAAACATGCTAAGCTACTATGTCAGCTGTTTCAAAAAGGCCTTCACTGAAGAAACTGATAGGAGATGACACTTAGAAACTCGGATGCATGATATCTAAGGCCACATGATCGACAATTTGGAGAAGAAAACCTTTTCCCATATATCGATTAATAGGTCAGATAGTATCAGATATCTGATCCCCAAACTGGATAGCAGTAGTCCTGACTACTGTCGATAATGTAAGGATGAAGAAGAGGTAGAGATGATTGAACAGAGATAGAAACTCTGACATTCTTCTCATACACGACCCCATCATTATCTATAAGCCAGTAAGGTAAAATCGTCTTCTAGTTGGGCAGACCATCACCCTTGTCTGGTTCTTGAATTGATTTCAGTGTATTTCTATGGAAAAAGGTGACTCGAGTTGCGTCGCTTCGGTTTGCGTCGGGGTTTTCCGCACGATTGACGACGCAAGTTGGGGCCCTAGTGTATATTTTTTGTATAGTTAGGGTTAATTAGATACAGATCTTTTGGGTAATTTTATCAAGAGCTGAAAATATGTCGAATTGAAAATATATATGGCGGTGAAAATTCCCTCTGGCCCTTATTTTTATATATTACCTGAGTATTAAATAATATGGGTGGTGTGGTTGGCACTGATTCTGTGAACACATACGGATCTTCGGCTGCAACAATTCTTGTTATATTGTTGCTGGTTGTGTTAATGTTAGTTGTTGAAGTGAACTGTGGTTGTTGTTGTTTGTTGTTGGCGCTGTTGGCGGCAATGGTAGAGTTGCAGTTTGTTGCTATGAATCTTGATGCTTGCTGACATGACATGTCCCGTTGACGGTAAGTGGAAACAATATCTGCGTGTACTACTGCTTGGGGGGGCGCTCCTATATTGTAGTTGCTGCTACGTTTTTCAAACTGTATTTCTTTATCAAATACTAAGACGACTTTGTGGTTCAATGATGACAATGGACGATGATAATGATGTAGGTTAAAGCTGAAACGTCGTTTGTTTTTCTTTTTCCCAAAATGTCACGCAACAAATAATTCCCAAGTATATAGTTCTATACTCCTACACCTTTAGGGGTTTTCTCCTTTTTTAATTTGCGGATGATGATCGTTGAGATTTTCTTTTTTTTCTTTCTAGTAGTTGCGTTAATTATTTCCGTAATTTATATGTGTGTGTAAGGTTAATTCTCTGGGTTATGTTGCTTCGGTTGTTGTTGTTGCTGTTTTCATAAAACCTGTAATGAAAAAACGTAAATTACACAATTAATATTTCATTCGAGAAATTTAATAAATGTAGTTTTTGTATTTCGTATTACATTTACATACAATAGAATTTGAATATAGTACAACAAGGAGCTGAAGTTTTGGTATAGTTCTAGATTTTTAAATTTAAATATTAAGAGTTGATACCGTCTCATTACAACGTCTTCATAAAGATTATAACATTTCATTAAAAATAGATTTAAAAATCTACAAAAAAAACTCTCCATTGGAAAATTTATTATCAAGATTTGAATTGCGACATTTAATACATTTCTGAACTTCATATTTTTGTTTTTAATTTCCAATTAGACTTCTCTTCAAGGAATTACAAACAAATTAAATGAATCCGCATAATAGAAATTTGCTATAGGTATAGAATTAAAAGTATAATAGTTGAAGAGAGTGCCATTAGAAATGTAATTAAATAATTTGTTTTCATATTTTCAATAGATTTTGGTTTACATAAACCGTGTCTGACTGTATAGGGTGAGATGAAAAAATTGGAACCAACTTCAGATTGCTGTCATTTCTAAGCCACTCGCCCGACAGCTGTTAAAATTATTCCAGTCACAGCTCATTATATTGTTTAAGAAGCGTACAAAAGCAATTTGGTGAGAATTTTTCAGAAAAAAAGTTATTCGTGATGGAATTCAAACGTTATGGTGATGGTGTGAACCGCCATAACAGCCGATGGTCGTTCTCCGCTCGTATTAATCGACCGTAAAAAATACCAAAGTGTTGATCACCTCAAGCAAGCGCTTCGCCGGGAATATCGCATACCCAAAATACCGCAGAGCAACATTCGGGCAGCGTGTGACGGTTTCATTGGCCGTTTGAAGGCCATAATTCGTACCAAAGGTGAACAATTCGAACAAATCTGCACTTATTCTAAAATTTTATGCTATTTCCGACATTTTTTGCTTTCATTGAATAAAATTAAAAAAGATGTAAAAATTATGGAGTTTGACTTTGTTGCAGTTTTTATCTCACCCTGTAGTATCAAGATTTGAACTGCGGCTTTGATACATTTCTGAACTTTATATTTTTGCTTTTAATTTCGAATTAGACTCCTTTTCAAGGAATTACAAGCAAATTAAATAAATCTGCATAATAGAAATTTGCTATTGGTATAGAATAAAAATAAAATAGTTGAAAATCGTGCCATTAGAAATTCAATTAAAAATTGGGACCCTAGTTAAATATATATTTTTTCATATTTCCAACAGATTTTTGGTTTACAAAAACAGTGTCAGACTGTATGTACACCAACAGAGCTTTTGAAACTACATCCATTTTTGTTTGAGGCAACCAGCATTACAACACGTTAGTGGTGTTAGCGTACATTTTGTGGCTATGAATGGTTTTGGATTTCCAATTGTCTGAGTGGCAATGTAGGAAAAATGAACGGTAAGAGGTGATAGAAAGGAAGGTAGGTAGCCCAGCAACATGGGGACTATCATCTACGATGACGACGACAATGACAAGGCTAGGCTAGGCCTGCCTGTCAGAGCAATCATTGGAATACACAATACATATGGAAAAAGTAAGTTATTTAATTGTTGTATGGTAGCGACGATTCGTTGTCGTTGTTGTACTGATGATTTCTATGCTCCATGAGTCGCCCTCTCAAATCTCAAGAGAAATATTTCAACAAACCGAAACCGCCGCCTCCGCCAATATATTTAAGTTTTCAGTGATTGTGTATTTTGGTATTCAAAGACAATGAAGTGTTGCTTTTTTTCCATTTGAACAATTAATATTTTATTTGGCTTCTTTGTTGTTTTGTCTTCTTTGATATGAACAGATAGTTATCTGTGTAATGAGCGAATAATGATTAAAATCCACAAAAACATCTGTAAAACCAAATAAAAACCATGAACAGCAAATTGTTTGAAATTTTAAAGCACCCTTTTGATTTGCTGTGTTGAAGAGAGAAATAAAAAAGGCATGCAAGAAGCAGTTTATCAGGATAGCCAAACATATTATAGCTCTTCATAAAACCATATCTGCATCAGAACAGATTGACATGGTGTTTTTGATTCTCTACAACAATTTGTGGAAAGGATATTATAAGTTTAATTGGGTCAAAACGTTTGTAACATCTCAGAAAAGTTAGTCCGATCATTATCTCTCAACGTACTAAGTCGATATAGCCGGGTTTATGTTAAATTGTAATCACCGTAGATATCGTAGTTATAATCCGATTCTCATGCGGTTCTGCAAGAGCCAGAATAGAAGCCTGTAATTTTTGAAAATGTTCGCAATGTGCAGGGTGAGATAAAAAAAACTGCAACAAAGTCAAACGCCATAATTTTTCCATTTTTTTAAATTTTATTGAATGAAAGCAAAAAATGTCTGAAATAGTATCAAATTTTAGAAGTTTGAATTTGTTCGAATTGGCACGAATAATGGCCTTCAAACGGCCAATAAAACCGTCACACGCTGCCCGAATGTTGCTCTGCGTAGTTATAATCCGATTCTCATGCGGTTCTGCTTGGACCAGAATAGAAGCCTGTAATTTTTGAAAATGTTCGCAATGTGCAGGGTGAGATAAAAAACTGCAACAAAGTCAAACCCCATAATTTTTCCATTTTTTTTTTTTTTTGAATGAAAGCAAAAAATGTCTGAAATAGAATCAAATTTTAGAAGATTAATTTGTTCAAATTGGCACGAATAATGGCCTTCAAACGGCCAATGAAACCGTCACACGCTGCCCGAATGTTGCTCTGCGGTATTTTGGCCCATTCCCCGCGAAGCGCTTGCTAGAGGTGATCGACATTTTGGTATTTTTTAGTGCTAACCTTGCTTTCCAAAATACTCCAGACACAAAAGTCCAACGGATTGGTATCCGGAGATTTTGGTGGCCATTGCGCGCTGAAAATGAAGCGATTCTGAGTGGGTGCTGAGTGCGATGGTGCTGAGTCCTGTTGGAATGTCCAAGGTCTGCGGCGAAAATGTTTGCATACCCAAGGCTTTATTACATCCTTCAGAATATTTTCGAAATAATATTCGGCATTTATTCTGATGCCACGGTCGATTAATACGAGTGCAGAACGACCATCGGCTGTTTGGCGGCTCACACCATCACCATGACCGGTGCTTGAGTTCTGTTGGCCAACCTAAGGTGCACATTTTCAGCAGACCTCTTTTGCTATTAAACACGATCATTTTGATTGTTTACAAACTGCTGGACAGCGAATCTTTTCTCAACGGAGAAAACCAAATTCGGCAGTTCACCACTTTCGGACAAGTGAAGCAACTCTTAGCTCTATTTTCTTTCTGTTGCGGTGCAAGTTCTTGCCATTTTTAGAATTTCAATGGTTTTACCCCGAGCTCATTTTTCAATATTTTCCGAATGGAATATTGCGATACGTTCAACTCACGAGCCATTTTTCGGCAACTGTGACGCGGATTTCGATCAAGTCGCTTCTTTACTTTTTGAACCATTTCTGCTGATGTTGCTGTTTTCTTCCGTCCACTTCACGGTAACGAGTGATTTATTCACATTTAAATGCTGGAGTGCTTTAATATAAAAAAACCACACTATCACGCTTGAATTCCATCACGAATAACTTTTTTTCTGAAAAATTCTCACCAAAATGCTTTTGTACGCTTGTAAACAATATAATGAGCTGTCACTGGAATAATTTTAACAGCCGTCGGGCGAGTGGCTTTGAATGACAGCAATCTGAAGTTTGTTGCAGTTTTTTCATCTCACCCTGTATACATATATGTTTCATCCGATTAAAAATTGAAACCGCTCTAATATCATAAAACGCCTTAGATAAGGATCATAGTTGATATGATAGCGAGAGAATGTCAAAACAGGCTTAACTCTGCAATGAAAAAAGTAAATGTAATATGTTCATTTTTTAATTGAATGACAAATTAATTTACGCCAATTTCAAAGGTAACGGGTCTATTTGCAGTTAGTATCTCAATTCACTTAAATGATGGTAAGCAGAAACTTTCTATACCGAGTCATAAGAACGTAAGTAAATATACTCCTCATTAGCATGTTTCTACTTTAAGAATTTCCCAGTAATGAAATATAAGCGTTGACCCAATTAAAATATGTTACAATGAAATTTGATTTTATAGATATTTTAAAAAATACTTTAAAAAAATGAACAAAGAATTCACTTAACTGCGGCTGCTGATTGACAAATGTGAAGAACAATTGCTTGTTTCATTAGAAAAAAAAAAAAAAAAACGGAGAATAAAAACTTGAGAGCCTCTCAGTAGAGAATAGATTTGTTTACTTTGTGTGTGACACAAAGAGGCAAAGACAAATGTTTTGCTTAGACGTCAAATAATAATAATGAGACAGAAGAAGAAATAAAACAAAACAAAAGAATAATGGAATAATGAACCACAACAAGATTATAAAAAAACGTCAGAAAAAAACCCAAATTAAAAACAAATAAAGGTGAAAAGAAACAAACAAAAAAATGCATTGCGTTGCACAATAAATAGTATGGCACGAAAGCCCAATAACTGCAACCAAAAAAAGTGACAACAAAAACCACGTCTAAGGTAAAGAAACTCGAGCACTCTCGAGGCAACAACAGATCCTCTCCCCCGCAACCTCATAAACAACCATCATCAATGAGATATGTCATTGTTTGGTTATTGTTATTATTGGTGGCGCGACAATTCAATATGCTGATACACTGTGCAAACAATAACAAGAGCATACAAAGAAAAGCAATAGCAATAACAACTGCAAGCAAAAACGTATTGATAAATATGCCGAAACAACAAAGAGAAGTCGACGAAAAAAAAAATAAAAACAGAAAAATAAAACAAATTTTTGTAATGCAATGCTACTGCGCCATTGATAAGACCGACGAATTTTTATTTAGCTTGTTACTCATTTTTCTCAATGATGTTGCACAGTGGGCTGTTGTACAGAGAAATAGTTGACAGGAGATGTTGTTTTCAGTTACCCGTTCCCTTTTGAAGTAGATTA